CACTGACTTGACGTTGGTGTTGAAAATCCGTATCTTGTTCCGCATGCTGAGTGCAGAAGATCTCCACACTGGTTTCAGGCTAATGAACGCCTGTCTTGCTTTTCCGATTCTGACTTTGACGTCCTCGTCCGTCCCGCCTGTAGTTGAAACAGTGCTTCCTAGATAAGTGAAGGAGGTTACTTCCTTTAAGTTTCTCCCGTTGATGGTGATTGGAGTTTGTTGTTGTTGTTGTTGTTGATGGTGGCGGTGCGGTATCTTCATCACTTCTGTCTTCTCTATATTCACCTGAAGTCCCGTCTTCGCTGCCTCTTCTATCAACTTGTTAGTTTTTGCCTGCAGATCTTCAAGTTTATGTGACATTAGGCATAAGTCATCGGCGAAATCCAAGTCTTCTAGGTTCTTTTCCGTCGTCCAGTGTATCCCCCTCTTCTCGCTGCCTACTGTTTGCTGCATGATCCAGTCCACCACAATCAAGAATATCATGGGGGATAGTAGGCAACCTTGTTTCACTCCTGTCTTCACTTCAAAGGCATCACTGAGCTTCCCATTGTGGATTACTTGGCATGTGGCATCTTCATATAGTTGTTGAATGAGGCGGATAAAGGTTTGCGGTACTCCGTAGTATTGAAGCAGTTTCCAAATTACTTCTCGGTCGACGCTGTCAAAGGCCTTCTCAAAGTCGATGAAGTTGAGGTGGAGAGGTGATTGCCATTCTATGCTCTGTTCTATGATGATACGAAGCGTTGCAATTTGGTCTGCACATGATTTGTACTTCCTGAAGCCTGCCTGTTCTGGTGGCAGTTTTGAATCCAGTGCATCTTTAAGCCTCTCCAGGATGATGCGGCTTAATATTTGGCTTGGTGTGGACAGGAGAGTGATTCCGCGCCAGTTCTTGCAAGCACTGAGGTCTCCCTTCTTCGGCAGTTTGACAAGGTAACCCTTCTTCCAATCGTCAGGTACCTTCTCTTCCTTCCACACCTTCTGCAATAGTGGTGTGAGCATGGCCGCTGTTGTCTCTGCATCTGTTTTCAGTGCTTCTGGCGGTATTCCATCTGGTCCTGCTGCTTTCCCGCATTTCAGTAGCTTTATGGCGTTCAGGACTTCCATTTTCGTTGGGGGATTTATGTTCACTTGTAATTCAGCGGCTGCAGGTGGTATTTCTGGACGAAGTGCAGGTGGTGGTCGATTCAAGAGCTTCTTGAAGTGGTCGGCCCATCGTTTCCTCTGTTTCTCTTCTTTTGTAATTAAATTTCCTTCTTCATCTTTTATTGGTTTCATCTGTGTTGGTCTATTCCCTGATAGCAACCTGGTTATTTGATACAATGTCGTCAGGTCTCTCTTACCTGCAGCCTGTTCTGCTTCACTTGCCAGTGTTTCGTAGAAGTGTCTTTTGTCTTTGCGTGCACTCTTCTTTACTTCTTTGTTCAGTGTTTCATACATCGTGCTCAGTTCCTCTTGTCGTTGAGCATCCTTGCACTGGTTTATCTTCTGCTTCACCATCCTCCTCTCCTCTATCAGCTTCCAGGTATCCGTCGAGATCCATTCCTTGTCTTCTTTCTTCTTCCTTCCTAATACTGTTGTGCAGGTTTCTTTCCACATAGCTTTCAAAGACTTCCAGTGTTCTTCCACACAGGTTTCTTCAGGGATGTTGCTCGATGTCTCCCATTTTGTCTTGATGGCTGCCTTGAAGATCTCCTTTGTAGTTTCATCCTTCAGTTTCCGAGTGTTGTACTTGAATTGAGGTCTATCACCAGCTTCCTTGAAGGCTTTTAACTTGATTTGGAAGGTTCCTTGCACTAGATAGTGGTCTGAACCTACATCTGCTCCTCTTCTTGACCTTGTGTTAAGTAGACTGCGTCTCCATTTTCTTCAGATTGAGATAAAGTCGATTTGATTTTTAGTGTGTCTATCTGGTGAAATCCATGTCGCTTTGTGGATATCTTTGTGCCTGAACACACTGCCTCCAATCACCAAATCGTTGAATGCGCAGAATTCTGCAAACAATTCTCCATTCTCATTCATTTCACCTAGCGCCTCTCGACCCATGGTTAGTTCTCTTCCCGTGTTGTCCCCTCCCAGTTTGGCATTCATGTCGCCCATCAGAATTTTGATATCGCCAACTGACGTCTTGTGCAGTGTTGATTGAAGTTGTCTGTAGAAATCCTCCTTTTTCTCTTGCTCTGCATTATTTGTAGGTGCATAACATTGTATGATTGTGACCTTTCTTCCTTTTGAGTTGAATCTTGCTGTCATGATCCTGGAGGAGATTGGTTCCCACTGCATGAGAGCCTTCGATGCTCTTGAGGACATCATGATAGCCACTCCATAACTCAGTGTGCTCGTGGTTGGCGTCTGGGTGACAATATCGGAGTAGATTATTGATTCTCCAGTTGATAGTTTGGAGAGTCCACTCCCATTCCATCTGCTTTCGCAAATCCCAAGCACTTCGATGTGATGCCTTCTCATCTCGTTTGCAATCTGGGCTGCCTTACTGGGTTCAAACATCGTGCGGACATTCCATGTCCCCACGTTTACTTTCGCTTTCATCGAGAGAAGACACATCGGCCAATTGGCTTCCCGAAGGCTTTCACCAACTGGCGTCATTTCGCCTCTCCGATTCCAGCGGGGAATAAGTTTGTTTTCATTTTTTATATTTTGTTTGTGCTTCGAAGTTTCTTTAGCGGTTAGATTTGTTTTCCGGGGTAGGGTTGCTAGCCGTATGCCCAACCTTCCCTCTTTACCCGGGCTTAGGACCGGCTAGTAACTAGTAAACTAGTTAACCAGGCGAGGTTAAAGAAGAGTTTACTAGAATAGAAATCGTCAGGTCGTCAGCATACTTGATAGAATTAGTCTCAACAGAATAAGGCAAATCATGAAAAAAGGGGAAGATAGAAAAGGAGAAAGTACAGCACCTTGAGGCACACCAGCTTCAGTAAGCAATGAAGTCGAGCGCATCCCTTTATCAATATTGTACTGTTTCCTTTCAGATAAATAAGAATGCAGCCATTTTGTAACCCATGGCTCAGTGTGAGCTATGGCAAGCTTATTTAACAAAAGTGGTCTAGGAACAGTCGAAGGTTGATGAGTAATCCAAAAAGGCACAACGGATATGCTTAACACCTTTGCCGAGGCTAGAAACAATGTTATGGTGCAAGACGGTAGCTACATCTAAAGTACTCCTCCGGTGTTTGTAAGCAAACTGTTTTGGATCTCTGAAAGCCATCAATGAAGGCTCAATCACAAGCAGAAGTAGTTTCTCCATTGTCTTCAGAAAAGGGTAAGTTATGGCGATGGGTCGAAAAGTAACATCTGATCCAGAAGATGGCTTAGGCACAGGTACAAATTTTATCTGCTTCCAAGCAGTGGGTATTATATTTTTAGAGAAGGATACATTGAAGATATCTGTAAGTGGATGACACAAAATATCTGCTCATTTTCTAAATATGATTTTAGAAACACCATCAGGACCTATGCTTTGGAAGGGGTTCAAAGACTTTAGACATTTGTATTGAACCTGTAAAGCAGCTATCCACTTGATTTTGCACATTAGGAAGAGTGAAATTAGCTTGCCGACGTATAAACGACTCGTTTAAAGCGCAGACATCCGAACGAGTTTGTGTTATCATCTGTCTTTTACCAGTAACCTCTTCAAATAATTTCCACATATTGGAAGAGTCCTTACACGATAAGAACTTCTTGTTGTGTAAAGTATTCAGACGTACTTCAGACTTAATTAGGCAGTTAAGCCTTTTAACACCAGGGTGATCTCTCGCCTTATACAACCTTTCCTTTTCTCTCCGAATCCTCCTGAGATGAGGAGAGGAAAGTCTGTCAAATCTCATGTGAATTGTTTCAGCAGGGCAGCAGATATCGAGACAGAATCTGAGATAGCTTGTAATATTGGTAATAGTGTTGTCTAGAACTTCATCAGTAAATATATCCCAGTCCGCTTCTATAAGCATGCTTCTCAAACGTAATATATTTTCATGTGAATAGCATCTGTATTGAACTTTCCTTGAAAGGTATGCAAAAGCTTTCTTGTATAATTTTCCGTACACTTTAGGCAAAACGCGAACGATACAGTGGTCGGAACTAAGCAGTGGAGCCCGTTTACGGGCTTCATATATCCCAGGTTCATTTGTAAATGCAAAGTCTAAGGCGTGGCACATAATTACCTAGGAGTCGTTAGATTAGAGTTCAGTGAGGCTCAACATTGATGCAGATCTCCGTAGTTTTATCGGACCCACTTAGCCGAAGGCGCTTGGTCAGACATCCACCTCACTCAACACATCGTGTTACGTTGCACTGCTCGAAATCGATCATCTAGACAGCTAGGCGGAGCACACGCTTTTTGGCACGACCTCTCAGATATACTACTCTCATCTGACTGAACTAGTGTGTTCCCCTCTTGGTTTCTTGTTTGTGGATATAGCACAAGCACCAATAATCAGTCACTGGTCTCTGCGTTTTTGAAGTTCACACAAGGACGATTCCCAAAAGAATACTCTTGGTTTTCGTTTCTCACAGGAAGTCAAACTTGAACTCTGACGACTACAACTACTCACTAGAAATACTCTTATACGTCTGTTTCAAGATCACAGTGAAAATCGTCTTAGGAAAATCCTTCAAAAAGATTTTAATATTTGTTTTTGCCCTTCCAAGCTTCCTGGGACTTACATAAGGACTACAGTGATTCAAAGTAGAGAGTTCTTCTGCAGTTAAACCAAAAAAATGATATTTGTCTGGTTGTTATTTTTCAGTGCTATTTGGAGTTTGTTTGACTTTGTCATTTGGTCAGCCATATTGAAAATGGTAAGCCATCTTGTTTCGTCCTTGAAAGTCGTTGGTAGATGTTCCACCGGTTGTGGGAGGTTTTGTGTGTTGTGCTGTTGCGTCCCACTTGTGATTTAATTTAATATTGCTTATGATTATTTTGAAGAAAACTTGATACTTAGGTTCAGTAAGTTAGTTTTCCCCTCCTTAGCTCTATTTGGCGTTAGATGTCTGAGTCCGAAGACAATTCACAGCTCAATTTCTTTAACTTGAACTTTGGTGCTTGGAATAATGGTTGTAATTTGGAGCTAGTCAACAATGATATTTGGCCACTTAATTCCGGCCCATATCTTGCTCATAAACATGACAGTTTAGGTAATCCCTGTACAAGATTGACTTATTGTAGGTCTTCCACCTGTCAACAAGCAATCTGGAAAATCCTCTGGAGACTCCAAGCTTGATGGGCCAAATCTATGTAAGTCCCTATCCCACTTATTGTTTGTAGTTTCTTGGTCATCGAATAATCCACTTATACGGCCTGCGAATAAAATGTCAATATGGTCAACTGATGTTCAGTCACAAGCAAAGTCCCGAGAGTTATCGAGCTCACTGTGGGGGAGTACGGTGAATGAGAATGATCAACTGGCGTCTGAAGATGTAAGTCTTTATGTCATTAGCAATGGATTTGTAGGTTTGGGATTCATCTCATGACCCTGTGGTTCATATACCCAAAGTTGGGAACGAATTAGAATCTTGGAAGTTAGATCGTCCACAGTGTCTTGGTTCATCGGATGTGTCATTACCTGTTGTTGATTCCGAAATAAACAATGTCTCCAGAGAGTTGGAATTACCTCATCTAAATATCCCTGTTAACAACCTTCCCGATGTTAACACTATGCTTTCGGGGTTGACCATCACTCCTAGGAATTCTGAGGAGTCACGTGAGTACATCCGCTTACATTTTTCGCATTATCACCTGACCATCATTTTCTAAGACCTCTTCTTGATTAACTTGCAAACATTTGCCTGCTCATTTTAATGTTATTACGCACTCCGTTATTACGTGGGATTCGAACCCTGCCGTTCTTAAGCGATTCTTAAATGACCAGAAGAAAAAGGTATTACTTTGTAGTGCATTTTAACGCTAATTGGAGGGTAATTACTGTGCATATAGTTTAGCAATGCTCCAAAAATTATCGAAGTTTTCGGGCGGTTTTAGCAGCCTGGTTTCGAATTGCGGTCAGTAGGGATGTTCGTCTATGTAACCCAACCTTAGACCCCACGACGTGTGATATGGATGTAAATACCCCTTCAAATGACTCCACATCGTTTGTGTGACTGGTTGCAGAAGGATTTGTGCGTTCCAGCTTCAAAGTTAGACCACCGTAAAGCTAGATATTGGGTATCATTTTTTAAATTCCTGAGAACAATTTTAAAAAAGGTCCACGAAACCTATAGCTAATATGGTCTGGGGCTGCAGTTTTCAAACATCTGGTCATAGGTTTGAGGCTCGCTCCACCTACCGAGGTTTGAGTGGCCGAATAGCATCATTGGCCTCCACACAATAAGTGCGGCTCATTGTCTACTGCACGCATATGCAGACTAAGGAATGCGTTTCGTTCATCCTTTTAACATGCTGTAACTACCCACCGCTTCCTACTTAGTCTCGTGGGTGGCTGTGGGAAGCCGTTTGGGACCAAGTAGTAGGGTTCAACAGTTTGAATCAGTGTTTTGATCGAGTATTGACCCATATAGTAAGGTATGCATTTCCATCAATTCAGAGCTCATGACTCGCAAGCTGACACTAGCCACTCCATGATCATATGAGTTTCCCCAAGACGGTAAATTCCTATGCTTTGCAAGTGTAGGTTGTACTGTCGAACATAAGCTTAACTTTTAAATTTAATGACAAAACTTCGTCTTCAGACGACTAGATGAGATACCCGTAAATTATAACTAGCTGCCTTGTTAACCAACCATTTCTCATTGTAACTTTCTCAAAGTTTGTGAACTTAAGTGTGGTAAAACGCCGACTAGACTGTTCCCTACTCCGCTAAACCTAGCTATTTGTCTTCTTGCCAGTATCCTCAGTAAGCCGAAGTACCTATCAAGTATCACCTAGTTCTAAAACATGTTCGCCGACTTTCGCCTCCGACACCCCCCACGTTCCACAATCACTGTGAAGACTATGAGTCAGTTAACGTCCAGGCCACTTTCGTTCCTCATTGTGATCGAAGTCAGCTGGAATGAGTCTTCAGGCGTCAATCGGTTCGGACGAGGTTGGGGGAAATCAATTGTATTTTGTCAACCTTTCGATGTAGGTTACTAACTGTCTGCCACTATGTCTACAGTAGATTGAATATTACATCAAGCCTGATCAGGACCGCTACGCAGTCACGCCAGGTCCCATGTTGATATTGTTTATCTGACCGACGAAGAAGAGAGTTACTGCCATGTTTAGCTAAATGTTTCGTTATACCCCCTCCCCAAACGCGCACTCGACGTGTTCAACTTCCAGGTGAGTGCACACAGACTTCATTGCTGCCTGTTTCCTTCAACCAGTAAGGTACAAACATAAAAGTGTCCGTGCTAACACATGATCGGAGTCTGAGTAGGTACACCAGGAAGAGCTGTGATCCTCCAATGACGAATTATAACAATATGATGTATTTGTGTCCATCATTACTTTAGTGTTGGCGGACTCTGTGCAAGACTATCTCCCCATGCTTAAAGTTAGTGCCAATCAGAGACAAATGATTGTCAAAAAACTGCAGGAAACGATCACTGTCAATTTGTTGGCATGGGGTACCATATATGCCTTTCCGACTGACTCAGGTATTCCACTTGAACGTTGAAGTCGCTTTGAAACAAAATTGACATGTTTCGATGGAAGTCATCCATATTAGCATTCGAACCCTAGATGGTAGGTACGCAGACAGGGATTATGAGTTGTCGTCGACAAATCGCATAGTGTCCTGCAGTTCTTGTAGATATATGCAGTCAGGCAACTCGGACCGTTACGCAGTAATGTCCGGTCCTGTGTTGATAATGATTGACTGATTGAGTCAGGCACTACAAACGCCCGTTAATTGGATTTCAGACTAGAAGCGCGTTTCCTCTATAACTATTATACCGACACCAAGCCCTTGGGAACCAGCTACCGAATCTCCGGACAGAAAGTAAGTTCCGCAGATTCACCACGTTGACTAGACGCGGTCATATGAAAAACCACGCTTGGGTGCTGTATGTGTGTGTTAGAAGTACAGCACACCTCTACGGTTCTAGATTCCAGTTTTCTGGCAAGAAACGCCTGTTGTCCAATTTGGTGCAGGGTTCAGGCATTGAAGCTTTCTATGTGAAGTCGTTAGCTTAATTTTGAAAGACTAGGAACGGGACTTAGCTAGCTTAAATAGTTAACGATGAACGTAGAATAAAATTCTTAGCAAGTTAATTGCCTAACATTCATGTCAGGAAGTGAAAACTAAACACACAAAAGTAAGATCATGTTTTATAGGATTTCTTATGTTACTGAAAGCATGTGGGGAGTCAACACATTCAGACTGTTGAAATCTCACTTGTCGCCTCTGCAGGGTACCTGTGACAACCACGAGAGAATTAGTGTGACGAATACTGTGCCCATGATCCTAGATTTCATAGTTGAAGGTGACGAGCTTAACCAGTATGCATGGTTTCAGGATAGCTGTGTCAAATGGTTAACCGGAGGACAGCTTTATAGGGGCAACTGTTAAGCGATTCAAAACAGTACAGACAGACAAGAAGTGTAAGCAATGGAGGGCAGCTAAGTGAAGTGAAAATAAAGACAAACGAAAATAGTAATGATAAAAAAATACAGTCCATACGTAAAAGCTATAATGGCAATAATTGGTTAAATAGTTCGCAATCCAGAGAGCTTCAGTATTAGCTAGAAGGTTGATTAATAGCTTCAAAATCATTTTATATTGTAAGTTCATATCTTGTGTGATAGCTAGGATACTGCCCGAACACCCAACCCGAAGCATGTGGTTGTCTTCGAGGACCACTTCCTGAGCCTTTGACTTAAAGTCTAATCCACAAGGATACATAAAAGCTCCTAATGTTCTACTCCTGTTGCCTTCGTAAAATTTCCCTTGTATCAGAGAACCACCACGTGAGCGACGTATAAGTCCGATGTGGGGTTTTAAGCAATATGGTAATTCATTCGTGGATACTGTGAACTTTCATCAGTCCAGCTGACCAAGGTGTGTTGGGGTTTGCCAGTAAACATTTATATGGGTTGAGGCTGAGGCAGAAAATTACTGACTGCAGTAATGGAGGTACTAAATATTGTAATGGGAATTAGGGATAGTGCCATCAAACTAGTGTACTTAACCGATCATCCCAGTTTATAATAGGGGGCATAAATCTTCCTGTAATAACCATAGGGGAGTCAGTGTGACGAATACTGTGCCCATGATCCTAGATTTCATAGTTATTTGACGCCTAAGTGTAGTTCGAGAATAGCAAACTCGAGAAAACCAGGCAGGTTACAGACCTGGTTGACGGTACACCGATCATGTTTTCACCACCCTCCGACAGGTTCTGGAACACAGCGATAGCTGCCGGCGACCGATACTTGCCATTTATCTCGACTTGAAGGTGGTAATTGACTCAGTTGACCGTGAAGTGTTGTGGCAGTGTCTGACTGACTGTGAAAGGAGTACGAAGCAAGCATGTAATGCGTATCAAAGCTCTCTACTGGATCCCACGCAGCGATGTAGAGGCCTATGGAGAGTGGTCATGTGAATTGAAGACAACTAATAGTGGTGTCCAGCAAGAATGCCCGCTGTAACCATTCCTGTTTAATTTCGTCATAAATATAATAATGAGCATGACCTAAAGTACATCTGACTTAACAAGGATTGATCTACTCCCTGGAATCCATCTGGTTGATTTGAAATATGGAGACAATGTTGTCCTACCAGATGAAGACGCTGACAAAATGCAAGGTCTTGTGAATGCAATGAGGAGAAATCTGGGCATGTTTTGCGTGCGTTTCTCTGGCGCGTGTTGAATGTAATGTGATGCTGCAGGACTGGTCTGCTGCGAGCACTTCCTGTTTAGTGATAGGGAGTGAAGTGGTGAAAAGTGTCGACCGCTACACTTACTTGTGTAGTTGCATCAACCAGAACAGACTGGTTGATGACAGAACCTCAGCTCGGGTACAGAAGGCCAATCTAGCATTTACCGACTTGCATCAACTGTGCTGCCGGCAAGATATCCGACTACCTATTAAAGGACGAGTATACTGCTCTACAATCCGTTCTATCCTCCTATACGGCTGTAAGACATGGCCGTTAGAAGTGAAAGACACGGAATTGTGTCAGGGTTGTGATCGCAAATGTTTTCGTAGAATTGCTTGCGCTTGGTGGAATCGTCGTGGGCGCAATGTTGAGGTGTGGTGAAGTGTGCTTGGTGAGACAGGCAGGTTGGTTGATGAGGTTGTGAATCTTTCTCGACTGAGGTGGCTTGAAAATGTATTGCGCATGCCGGACGATCCACCTCGACCTACAATGCTAGGGAAAGTCTGATTTGGTTGGATGCGGGTTCAGAATGGCCAGACTGAAACCTGAAACTAGCCAAAGAATTCCGTTAGTGTTGGTGTGAGCTGTGTGTGCAGATGTGTAGAATACTTGGTTAGGGTCCCCGAGAAGATAGGTGTCAGTGGTTAAGGACTCTTGGTGAAATCGCTGACAATCGTGCGGATGTAGTCACTTCTTGACATCTTAAACATGAATGTTCACACTAACCTTTATCTTCAAATTGTTTATTCTCACACTACTTTAACATCACTCCTTTTCTATTCATCTGTTCTTTGTGTACTACTGTGAAGTGTGGCAACTTGAGCCAGTGCACCTTTATGCGAGGTTCTACGTTGATTTTGTCAGTGTCAGTCAGTCAGTCATGTTTGTATGATTTCGATTTATCTAGAAATGGCGGTTGTACTGTATCTTGTTTTACCTGACACATGGTAATGGGAACCGATTCAGTAAAACTCAATCCCCAACAACACTTGTAGAACTACTTTCAAGGGAACATCTAGATGTATTTATATCTTTGTCTTTGTTACTGCTTGAATAACTAAGTCATTGTATTAGTTCAGTGTACAGCTCAGGAATAGCTTATGCACTATGAGGATTTCGATCAGAACTACGTTTGTGTCTTGCAGTATATGCTGGTAAAGGTGGATATTTGTCTAAACCTGTCACATTTTTCATATCACAGACTAAATATTTATTTTAAATAATCTTTCCAGCGTCTCAAACTAAAACATCTGCAAGTTGTGCTAGTGCAAATGATCCTGCTACAGTTCAGGCGCTGTCAACAGAGCAATTATTTGACCGACTAATCAATACAAATGAGGGTTGGGGCAGACGGCCAATCGACCAGGCGACACCATGGGAGCCATTGGATTCAAAGATAAGTGATCAGATAAATCGTAGTGGTATAACAACGCCTACACCGGGTGCTTGTTCTTCTGGATATCTGGCTGGGAATTTCAGAATTTCTTCACAACCTCACACATCCGATTCTAATGTATGGACTAATGAACCACCAACGGGAACAGGAATATGGGAAATGCACTATGAAAGTTTGGGTGGTCGTTCGGCTGCATGGCAGGCAGAATCACAGTCTTTGGCTTATCGTGATATGATATCTACTCCTCAAGTTAATCCTAGTAATTTAATGAATTGTAGTCTAAATACTAATCCTCGAGCGGCACCGCAGCTTCAACCTAGTCGTCCTGGTGATTGTCGCGAATGGGAAGATAACGAGAGCAGTAAGTAATAAAATTCTAATCCAGATTAAAACGTGCTGGACAAAGTGATCAGTCGTACATATGTGTATCCGAATTTATCATAATCTATTGTAGAGTGATAATCTGATCAAACTGTTGTCTAAATGGAAACTGACGTGATTTTCTCAAATAAGTTAAACACGTATTTCTACTAAGTGTTCAGTGACTAGATATTTTGTAATTGAGTTCATGCTTACAACTTATAGTCTTTAAAGTGGTCAACGTGATAGGCATTTACTCAAGTCTCAACAATTGAATTTAACGTGTTGTACAAAGATACGAAATCCACTACAACGTCTTTAAGAGCTCAGTTTGACAATTTAAAAACAACTTACTTCTTAACTGAGCTGCAATCTATGTGTGGGCTTAAGCCACATTTAACGTATTTACTGATACTATATAGCTGTTGAAAAATAAGTGTATGGTGTGGTGCGGTTTAAATGAAAGCCGAGTTTTATTAAATGAGACGGCTACTTTCTTAAGGAAATGGGTAAATCAGATCTTAGAAAGGTACATTTATACCCTTTATATTGCGAAATAGAGTTGAGGTACAGTATGATTTAACAAATTAAGTCTTCATATATGCAGCGCATTCTTCTGCGAAATGAAAACAGCTACCAGTAAATTGATGCCAGTTTACCAAGATGCGAAGTAATGCTAATTAAAAACTACTTAACGACTTTCATGTATTTTTAAATGAGATGGGCAATGTCTTATTGTTGTGAACGTGACTTTACCACATAATTTTACCAATTAGATGCCAAGTTCTGCACAAATGTAGATGTGAAAGGTTTTTGACATACTATTGCAAGCATTCGTTTCGGTATACTGTATTCTATTGTTGCATAAAAGCACTTAGTTTGGTCAGACACACACTACCTAGTTTTAGGTCTCCCTCTCCTTGAGCAAAATTACAGGAATTGACCATGTAACAGGAAATCTGTTAGTGAATCTAGAGTACGGAGTTAACGTAGTCTTGTTGAGTGAAGACCCTGACAAAATGCAGAATCAGGACACCGAATGCCAATTTCAGGATATTTATGACGTGTTTCCGATCATTCTTATGCGGATTGTTGCTCAAGGACTGGTCTGCTTTGGTGCCCCATCTAAGAATAGGGAAGTGAAATGGATGGCCACGTTTACCACTTACCTAAGAAGTTGGGTCACCCCTGGTGGGTCAATGACTAATGAAGTCTGTGTGGACACGATTATTATTACTATCATTATTCTTATTATTATTGCCACTATTATTATTATCGGAACACAAACGGTACAGCAGGTGTACCAAGAAATGTGCCATACAAAGTCGTATAATAACAATATGGAGACAAACGATGGGAAGTGGACACGTAAAAAAAGTATAAGAATAGCATGATTAAAAGAGCAGTCCGGTAAGATACATTCAAAACATTAATTAATTCCCAGCAGCAGTAGACAGAAGGAAGCTACAGCATGATTGCCACTGGTTTTGATTCCGAACCATATCTGATAACGTCTCAAGCCACTGAGTCTCCAGCAAACAATGAACAGTATGGAAGCTGTCGGGACGACATGCGCAACCCATGTCCAAACTACAGAAGCCGGTGTTTCCAGATGAATTCACTCATTGAGTGACGATTTCCATGGCCGTTAGAAGTGAAAGACACGGAATTGTGTCAGGGTTCTAGTCTCTTGTCTGGTGATTCTGCGGTTACTTCCAGTTGAGTGATGGGGAGTAAATTGGTGGAATGTTTGGACCACTTCACTTACTCGTGTATTTGCATCTGCTTAAATACTGTGAACCTGTTTGGCAACTACCAAGTCTCGTTATCTGTGACGCCTGCGAGATATCAGACAACTGATTGACGGATAAATTCGCTGTGTCTTATTATACGCTGAAACGGCCAGTGAGATTAAGAGATTTGAACAAAATACTGATTCTACCTATAAACGTCTTCGTAGCATTTGCTAGCGTTTAGTCAGTGGAACCACCATGTTAAGCTTAGGGTATAAGGCATACCAATCGATGAAGTTGTAAATCTTCAGCGACTGATATGGTTCGGAAAGGTGTTGCAAAAAGTGGACCACCGTCTGCCTCTTCTTGCAATATTACTTAAAGTGAGAGTAGGATAGAAGGAAGGTCAGACGCAGACATAGCACCAGTGCATGAAGTCTGCCTTTTGTTCTTAACCGTCTAGAAATCTGTAGACTGCCTCTTTCGGTGCCCCGTACTTCAGGGATGAAAGCTTAGAGACTCGTTAATGTTTCTCACTATCGGTTGCATTAGCGAAAATGTACCCAGGCTATTTCTTCAGTCTGGTCACCAACTCTCATTTCAGAACTGTCCCGCCCCTTTTTTCTTGGAATCTAATGATTTTAATTGCTTATTCTTTGTTTTCTTTAGTGTTCTGTTGAAAGATACCACATTACATTGAAGTACTTAATTCCATCTTCATGATAATAAATCCGAATGCAGCTCATGTGATAACTCTCCGTATCTAGATTAGCAGGACTCACTGTTTTAGCTTAGTCTGTGTTTACACCTGTAATACACTGCATTCCACTCGTGATGATATTTGAATTGTTCACTGAACCTACTGTGACTAAATACAGAGAGTTATATGGACGGAAAGGATACCGTATTCCTCTGATTTGGATTTAAGTGTGAAGTATTTCCCTAATCATTATTTCTGACTACCAGTTGCATTCTTTTCCGACTTTTGGTAGCATTCATATTTTGTGCAACTTGAATGTCATGATTATCAATTACATCTACTTCCGTATAGGGTTAGTCAAGAACTGGAATGTTGGTCTGTCAGGGTCTTCAGATCGCACCAACCTATTGTGGAACTCGCCTACGGTTGCAGCAGATTGTGATGACCAAGTTGGGGGAGGTGCAATACACAGACGACACCCAACAACGATCGTCTCACATCCAGAAGGTTAGAAGTTGTTTCCATAAATTGAATAAAAGCATTTTTATCACCTCATTTTTCAAAGCTAGCTATCCATCGAGATCTCCAAAGTCCTACAATTACATTGTTTGTCAGTCAACATCAACATGTAACCGACCAGACATAATGACGCAATGGTTCAATCTGCCGTATCTCACAACGGCATAACGAATAAGTAATCCGAACTAGAAGAGTCAACGTCAGAGGTGTAATAAATATGAGATGAAGTTTAGTGGTTATAACGAAGATAACATACGAGTGCTTCTGCGTCGCAGATCGAAAACACAGTCGTTGAACATCCACAGATCACGGAGACCGGGTTTTACAGCTGTAGAACTGAACTACCCACAACTACTGATATAGTTTGAGGTTAACGTGACGCAAGCTCAAAAGTTCACTGACGTTTTTAGCTGCTACAGATTTGTTCAGTCAGGTAGCATACAAATGTGGGTTAGCTGGAATCCAGTCGAAAAGCGTGCTTTCTCCTGTACAACTTGATTTTATACTTGCACCAACTAGGCCAATAGAACTAGCCATTGAATGTCTGGACACTCATCAGGTGAATTTCGCGGGTTCATTACCTTGGCCAGGTGAGATCAAGTAAGTAACCACGATTGGCTCCTGTATACGCGTGACAGGTGTCAGTATACCGCTATAACTCTAGATTCCAGTGTCATCGTCATCAATATCAACATTTAAGCATGCAATACTGTGCAACGATCCAAATTGCCACAGCTCATATCAGTACATCAAGTGAAAAGATAGTGAAGTGCAAGATGAAGATAAGAAAATTCAGTCAAAAGAGATATAAAGTACTAAAAGAGAGAAAGGAATATTAAGCAAATGGTGAGAGATTCGGTACAGCGTGGTTAAGATGAGAATAATGTTTGTCTACATCTTTCCCCACTGACATCGGTTCTTACCCATATCACCTAGAGTCAGTCTCCAACCACTGGTTCATCTTGTCCCGCGGACCCCAACCGTCTAATCTACATCACCTCACATGGCTCAAACCAACAGTCATACATTGGTGCCATGTTTTAGTCTAGCTACCTTGGACCTTTTTCTAGCCTGGACCTACTTTGGCCAACATTGCATGACGAGGCAGACGGCAACTAGACATGAGGAATGTTTGTCCCAACCATCTAGTCGATGAAGGGTCATAACTTCGTCAACTGACTTACCTCTACTCCCTAAAAACTCTGCATCTGACTTCTGCTTTACTCAGGTGATGACACCACAGAATACAGCCTATATTTACGAAGGTAGTGGTGGTCAAACACTTGAAGCCTCCTCACGTCTTCCACCTTTAATGGTCATGCTTCACAGCCAGACTGTTGTGCAGTTCACGCGACAATCAGACATCACGGTGGCGCCATAGGTGGTGTAAGCTGGCGAAAGCCAGCGAAGCCTTTTGTACCCGTGCAGAGATTTCATCGGCCACTGAGCTAGCCACCAGGGCTGATCCCACTTCCCAGGTAAGTGAAGTGGTCGATACACTCAATCACTACACTCTCTATTGTTGGCCGTGGCAGCGTTGAAGACCAATTGTGAAGCAATAATTTGCATTTGGGTGGTGAGAACCGCATCCCAAACATTCTCAAAGTGTTCAGAAGACTAGATCTTGTCAGCGTCTTCACCTAACAGGAGTATGTCATCTGCGTATTCTGGGTCTAACGAAAATTCTCCTGCGATTAGGTCAACGTCTGTGTAATCAGATGACGAGATGGAGACTTTTCATGAGAATATCTATGATAACATTGAATGAGGATGGAGACAGTGGGCAACCTTGACGGACAACACTCGATGAGTTCAGCTCCCTGGATATCTCACCATAGGCTGTAACACGCCCACAAGTTGTTCGAGTAGAGAGTCTTCAATAAGGTGATGTACTTACTCGGCACGGCTTTCAGTGAGAGACATTACCATAAGACTTCTGGATCAACGGAGTCGAATGCCACCGCCTTCAAGTCGAGAAATACAGCTATACAGCTATTGTCGGGCGTCGGTAAGCGTGTCTGTGTTTCAGGACCTGAGGCAGTGTGAGTATTCAGTCGATAGACCCGCGGCCGGGTCTAAATGCTGCCTGCCTGGTTTTCTCGGGTTTACTGTCCCCGAGCTCCACTCAGACGTCGGAGAATTATAGGACCTAGGATCCTGAACACTATGTTCGTCAGGCTGATTCCTCTGTGGTTATCAGGAGAGGACTTTTCTCCCCTTTCTTGAAGACTGGGTTTAGACCAGTCAGAGGGGATCGTGTTTGATTCCTATATACTGGTTATCGCTTCCGTTAAGCTGACTAAGAGCACCTTACCAGCATCCTTGTATACCTTTGGAGTTAGTCCGTCTGGTTTTGCTGCCCTTCCTCGTTTCAGGTTACCTACCACTTTCCTGACTTCTGCTAGTGTTGGGGAGCCTGTCTCAATGTTCCTTTCAGGGTCTGACTGGAGACCAGTTAAAATGTTCCTGTATATGTTCTGCCCGTCGTTCCAGTGTTCTCTGGGAGTGAATCGCAGATCCGTCCTTCTCCGCTATAGCCTAACTAACCGCAGTTGACCTTTTCCCCTCAGTTTCCTTAAAAAGTGTAAATAACTGTCTACTGTTACCAATCGCCGCTGCCTTTCGCATCTGTTCAATTTTCACTGCCCACCACTGTTTGCGGTCGTTGCGTAGACTTTTTCTCAACCTACTTTTTAGTTGTGCTCGTTGCTGATTGTACTCACAGCCTGCACGCAGGGATGCGTTCACGTGCATCCATTAGTTTGGAAGAAGTTGATGTTTTTAGCCACTCTTTTGAACTTGGCTACGGTTTTCAGTGCTGCTTTTACAACAGACTGGAGATGGCACCAATCTTCTGGGTGAGTGATAGTCTTCTTTTCCTATAACTGCATAGCCAACTTCTCACCGAAGGCGGCTTTGGTGTTTTTATTGTCCAGCAGCACTCGTTGTGGTTTTTTCGCCAGATTTTTCATACGTCCAGTGAGATGCAGGCATATACGCGTCGGACCAACGCGTGATCGCTATCCGCACATGTACTTCAGGAGAAGCGGCAATTTTCCACCGATCCTCTCCAGCGATGACTCATGAATATCTGTGTCCAATGCTGAGTTGAGGTCGCCACGTGAGACACTGTCTTTCTTTATGTCTGGGATTTGTGCTAGCTAAAAATAGGCGGTTATCTGAGCATAGTCGTAGTAGGGGATCATTGTTATCTGTGCATTCAGCCGGGACCTCGAAAGGGCCTCTTTAAGTGCTTTTTCCCTTCACGCAGTCTTCCCACTTGTGCATTGAACTCACCTGCAACAACCACCACGTCTGAACTTTTGGCTTTCGGGAAGAGGCTAGACAGTTCACTGTAGAACTCGTCCTTCACTTCATCCAAACTACAATCAGTGGGTGTGTAAGCAGAGATCACACAGAGACAACGGCGAGTACCTCTATTCCTTTTAGTTCTCACCGTGCCGTTCAGCCGCATAGCGCAGAGGCGACTATCAACTGGGATCCAGTCTAGTATTGAGTTTTCTGCCCTAGTGCTTACTACTATAACTACACCTGCAAGACCGCGAGAGCTAGCCATCGAATCTCTTGAAACTCAGAGGGTCAATTTTGCGGGTTCACTAGATTGGTCGGCAGAGGTTAGCTGAGCAACCGCACTTCAGTCCTGTATGCGTGTCTCACAAACACAGCACACATCCATGGTCCGTGTTGCTAGAGAGAGTATTTGCCAGCGAAGCCTGTTGACCAAGTTGACTGAGGGTGCGGACATTGAAGGCTCCGATGTGTAACTTGGAGCCTGGTTTAAGGAGACCAAAGATGCTGTTCTGTGGAACCAGATCATTTTCGAAGGCTGCAGAGGTAGGAGAAATTGAAGATGATGTAGTATCGTTAGTTGAAAGGCGTGAAGGAAGATTAAGAGGTAATGATGGGGGAGGTGGATAGCAGTTTGAGGAAACTTGAGTGCTGACAGAGTTGTGAGGGCGATTGACACTTCCCGGCTGCCCACACCATGGAAGGCTATCTCTTCTTAAAGTGCCTGAAAGAGATTTGTGTGACCGCAGAGCCCATCGGACATCTACTTGAGACGTGTCACTCGCCGCCTTTTGTGTATGATTATTCTCAACTTTTGTATTTTTGGGACCAGACGGTCGAAAAGAAATGACAATTGAACCAACACCACCAGCCCGGAAGACTGTGGGGTTTGGGGGGGCGACCTTTTCTAAACCCTCTTTCCACTGAGAATTCAGCATCAGCATGGCACTACTGGTCATCCAAAGGAGGCATCTTACTGCTGTCACACCGAGTCCAGTTAGCAGCAGTACGACTTCACCCTCAGACCCCCATCATAGTGTAGTAATTTACACCACAACGGTAGCTGCTTTTCGTCTAACCTCTGTTGAACAGACCTTTCTGGAATGGTGGGAACTCGAGGGAACAAGTGTTCCACTAGCATAGCTCAGCTCATTGGGTCATTGTGATATGCAAGGCGGATCACGACATCTAGGTAGCAGCTTATCGGTCGGGAGATTCCAGTGTTCACAGTATGGCAGCTGCTTTTCATTCCCATTTATCTAACAGATTTTTCTGGTTTGTTAGGACTTCAAGGAACAATTTCTGCAGGCTGGATATGTCTTGGCGTCACTTTGACATGGAAATCTAGCCACGTCGTCGAGGCAACTGCTATCGGTCCGGATTATTGCACTAATCCAAGAAAACCTTTCCTACCGAATTCCGAAAGAGTCTTTAGCCGCCTCTGTTTTTTAATGTACTTCATCATTTCGTGTACTGTATCGGCGTACGGTCCGTTGCACAGTCACCTTGAGAAATATTCCATATATTGTATTATCAGGGGAAGTGATTCAGAATTTTTGCTACATATTATTTCACATAAACACTAGTTGCACCTCGAATTCTGGATAATAATTTTATATTTTGGCATGCTTTAGCTTCCCATTAAAACTTTATTTTTACTAAGTTTTCTGAAGACACTGGGTTTTTCGCGTTGCATCAAAACCTTTTTTTCTGATTTCATTCGTATTTTTGTTTATCAGCGCCTTGGGGTAGTGGAAATACTGTTCATCCATCCAGTGGTCGTCCCGTACTTGGTGGAACTCGTGCGATACTACCAAATAATAACCAATCAGATGATGTGACTTTGGATGGTGACTCGAATTTTTTGAGATCCGGTGTAAACCCGAACACTATTGTTGCATGGGAAACTTCGTCCAACGGTGTGGTTAGTACTACTTGGGGGTCTACCGGAAATACGGGTCTAATTAATTCTATGCAAACCCAGTTGCCTTCTTCAACAGATGATGTTAGACGTCAGCAGAACTACTTGGGTTCCATTTCAGTTACTCAGGGATCCGTAAGTATTTTTGAAAAGGTTATATTGCATTACGTTTTCAAAATCAAGAAAATTTTCACTTCCAAGGTATATTATACTTTAAATAAGGTTTACCAGATAATCCCTCTAAATAGTAAGTAAACTAACAATTCTCTGTCTATATAACAAGTATATGATCTCTGCAGCATAGCGTTGCCTGCATTTCATGGCATATGTCTAAATTTTAGGCAAACAGGCCCACCAACTTGGAACCTTATGCAGAAGTCGATAGGCTCAAATTGCCACATTTCTGAACAGCATATAAAGGGCTTGATCGAAATCTGGTTATTAAAAGTGAAGCATGTCACCAAAGTATAAACAGATTGTTTTTTTTCAGTTTCTACGATTAGGAACACTGAATAAATCCGCGCCTTTGTGATCGCGCGTAATCTGCGTCATCAACAGTGCAGCCGTTAATTCTTTGTACTTCGGGAGAATCCGTAGGCTATTGCCATTCCGTGTTAGATTTGTTTATATGATTTATGACACAGTGACACAATATTATTTACTTGACGTTCCGAGCCGAAATTATTGCTCATAATCATATCACTGTAATCATACTCCTTTCCACATCTGATTTTTGTAGTTCTGTCACCTCATATGAGTTGTTTTCATTGATAGTAAAATTTTCTGTATCTCCAGTATAGGTGTTGCGTCATTTCTATTTCATGTGTTGGATTGGTTGTTGATTGGATGAACAAAGATTCACTAATCAACGTCTCTCTCTACTTAATTATATTGAACTTAAGTGCAGTGGTTTTATCCCACCCGCCCTATTGTGTGGTTATGTGTTAATGCATGCATTGCAATAGCCGAGTGTTTTTCAAAATTATTGATTTCATTCTGATCTGTTATTCCATATTAAGCTAAATTCCTATGTTCCAAATAATCTGACTGGCCCCGACCGGTTGGTTTCATCTATGTACTTGAACTCACAGTTATCACATGGAATTCGATAGATTAGATAGTTTTGCCCAATTGGTTCTATCGAATCCTCAAACCATTGAACAAGGCTTGCCTGTGAGTGAGTTTGTGGGTTTAAATGCCACCCTAATTTCAGCTTTGTTGAGAATCTTACGTAAAATTTCTGATGTTTCTTCCTTATGTGGCAACACAGTGGAGACTTTGAACTCCTTTCTCCTCGTGTTGTCGCCACTATTCGTATTTGCATAACTGTTATTATTTTATTTCTTTTGTGTTCATATGAGTTTTTTGGTAAACGGTAGAGGATAATTAATAATTATAAATGCTTCTTTTATGTGTTTCAATTCCTGTGAGTGAGTTTGTGGGTTTAAATGCCACCCTAATTTCAGCTTTGTTGAGAATCTTACGTAAAATTTCTGATGTTTCTTCCTTATGTGGTAACACAGTGGAGAGTTTGAACTCCTTTTCACTTGTGTTGTCGATATTATTCGTACTCGTGTTACTGTTATGCCTGAATGGTAGAGCTAGAAAACTGACTGGTCAGTGCAAGGACCTAAACAAGGAAACACGTAAAGCGAGCGCCAGTAGTTAATAATTATCCCACGCAGTTTATTAAGAAGTTCGTACGAACACGTAAGAAACAAAGGGGCAAAAGTGGCCTCTTAATCTTAGAATCTTACCACTTGCATCAAAGCTGAATGAAACAAAAAGAATATGTTGTATGATATGGTTGACATATTCGAGCTCATCCACGTGACATTGAGGAGGAAGCGCTTTAGGAGATTTTCTCGTCGGAAAACAGCTATTTTTTTTAACACCGGTACAGTCAGCAGCATAACTCATCTGGAATTGTCTGCTGTCGACCTCCTCGTCTTCTGACGTTTTTATTGTAAGACCCCAAGGTGCGAGCTTCATACAAATGTCCCCGTGATGAGTCATTATCTTAGATAAAAAGCCATCCTCACACCGTTGCAGTTACAGTGAGAATAATAATGAGTCAGTTTGTCAAAATAACACTTTTACTAAGATCAGTAACTCTCTCTTATCATCTTGTGATTTATTAATATTTCATTGTAAATTTTATTTTTATCTTTCACAGGATCGATTGCAGGTTCATCCGTATAGTAATACCTATCGAGCTGATTTAGTTAAATATTTGATGAGTCAGGGTTTTAAGAAAGAAGATGCACATGCAGCTTTGATCGCATGTAATATGGAACCAGAGAAAGCCTTGTCTGAATTACGCGAACGTTACAGCACAAATAGAACTATGAATGCCATGACACAACCCTTAGAACTTGGTCGTAATTATGGAGCAAATGGTGTCTCACACACAGTAACCAGGAGTGGCCCAATCCATCAGCTGTCAAATGATGCTTCATTATCCCAGTTTTCACTGTCAGGAAGCAACTCTACTGCCTCTGCACCGAATCATCGTCTTAAGCAACCAGGTTCATGTGTCACCACACAAAGTTATTCAAATCAGTTGCTAGCTATGCAACCAGTTCCTAACTCTCAATTAATGAGACAACAAATCACTCAGCAGGTAAATTAACTGTTTTTAGCCACCGACTCAGTACGTTTCTCGCGTTTTAAGACTAGGTTTATTGAACTGTACCTATTTCGTACTAATTGCAATGCAAAAGTGTTACTATTTTCATTTCTTTTACCCACTGTTCCTCAAAAATTGCCCAAATAACGGCTTGAAATTCGGTTATACAAGTATATATATATATGACCGAACTGCTTTGTATCCAGTGCTGTCACAGCTGCATCCTCACCTTAACCTCCATACCGAGTAGTCAGACAACCTCCACTATTCAGACTTGTGTGCAAAATGTTGATAAAAATTCTTCTTGGATTTATAGTTAGTGAATCAGGCACTTGACTTTTAACCAGGAGGTCGTTGGTCTGAACCTCATTCCATATGCGAGGTTTGATAAGTAAGGTGGTTCCATAAGTCCTAAAGCGGCGGCCCATCACCCAGTGTACACACTTGAACTGAGTTGCTGAGTTCCATTCATTCACGTTATTATTATCTTGGTTATGGTTACTATATCGTCATCAATAGCAGGGTGGTCGTCCGAAAACGAGCTCCGAGATTTTCCTAAATTTGACCCGAATTTCAATGCTGTTAAAATTCCCTATAAACTGTACCGCCTACCGTGCACTAACTTTGACTGAATAATAAGGCAAAGTACCTTTCCCATTAGATGTGTCGAATTTCAAAGTCTTCTTGGAATCATCTAAAGCTGATGAATACTGTAAATTCCTTGTTTAGGCCTGGCCATTTGGTTTTCGTATATATGATTTATACAACTTGTGATAGTTGTCCAGTTATGATTGTAATACGTTCAACTACCACCCTGAGTTTATATCATTTGAAATACAACCCACGTATTGATTAAGTGAAGCAGTAGTTAACCACCATCTAAGTCAAAACTTTGAACTTATATCACCAGGACATGCTTCCCTGGTATCGTGGTATTGCTTACGAACCATTTCAACTGACTAAAATCATTATCATGTTAGTGTCCTGAATGACCGAAAGCAGACGCTAAATCGATCCCACTGTCACCCACAGTGAATCCAGTTTGTCTTGCAGGTGCATCAGTGAGAAATGACGTTTTGCGCCGTAAGCCACCTCAGTTGATGAAAGTTTACAAGGCCATCAACTGACTTTCTCCTCTCTAAAACTTCACCTAACGTCCACGTTACTCACGTGGTGACACCACGAAATACGGCCTATGCTATGGAGACAATGGGGATCAAACATCTAAAGCCTTCTCATGTTTTCTACATTTAACAGCTATGTTTCACAGCCATGCAGTTGAAGCGAACTGCAGCACACTTCACCTGTTTTTTGAAAGACAATCCGATATCACGGCGGCACTAGAGATAGCTAGTGTTAACAGAAGCCAATCAAGCCTTTTGTATGCGTTCGGAGACTTCCTCGACCACTGACACACTAGCAGAGTTGATCCGACTTCGCAAGAAAATGAAGTGGTCAACGCGCTGAAACGCCGCAGTCCCTATCGTTAGATGATTGGGCACCACTGACGATCAGCCTTAGAACAATTTGGATTTTGGCGGCGAGAAGTCGGACACAAACATTCTCAGATTGCCACTCGAGGTGTCTGAAAGATGCTGCGCCTTGTAGGAGACTCCACCTAACAGGACAACGGCTACCAAGGATTCTCCTGTGATAAGATCAACCCCTGTGAAGTCAGACAACAAGGAGACCTACATAAGTACATCTATGAAGTTGAACACGAATGGAGAGAGTATATATCCTTGACGGACACGACTTCGATGTATACAACTTAACTGATAAGTCACGATGATCTCTAACAAATCTCCGGGTGTTCGACAGATATGTAATTACATGTAATCTCTTTCAACAATAGATACTTCTGTGAGATCTCTTGATAGACGGAATTGAATGCCGCCTTCAGACTGCGAAATACAGCCGGTCTGTAGGTGTGCTTGTGCATCAAAATCATCCTCAGTCCCCTTTAAATTCTACCTATGAAGTTCGTTCTAGCTATCCCTCTATATAGAAGAGTATCCAAGCCTCCTGAAGCCGCGCCTCAAACGCAGGAGCTTCCAGGGTCCCTTCTTTCCACTGTGTAAGACAACAAGCGTTACTGACCAGAACTTTGTGATTCCGGGTAACAGGCGCCTACTGCTTTGGCGAGACTAGCAAAGAGGACCACAGAGTAGTATCCACTTGGTCACATCTGACCAGTTTGAGTATATGGGTTATCCTTGGTTAGTACTTGCGGTATTTCAGATACAGTTATGACGTTAAACCCCGGAAGTAGGAAATCCCCTACTCCCTTACAATTGTCTGTGTTGTTCTACTGAATAGGGCAGTGAGAACTTCAAGGAATGACGAAACTCATGTTAACTTTGTTTGTCAAATGTTGGCTTCTACCTCGACCTGGTGGTCCGGCTTGCACGTCAAATGACACAACAAGCTACGCTAGCTACAAAACTTGTTTCCTGATTTCCTGTGTCGACCCTAAACGAACAAAATTATCATCCGATGTTTGGATCACTGTGATCTGACTGCATAATCTCCAGAGGTTGTGAGTGGTTCAAATCTACTGGTGTTGTCAGAGAATTATTGTGTGAGGTGATGGGAGTGTTATTTGACTTCGGAGTCAAATGCGATCTTCTGTAACTGGTTACAGTTATTAGTTACGATGTCTTCAATAAAGAAGAGATATTCTTTGTTTGTTAAGAACACAGGCAAATCAGTTTGACAAACATACTGTTTAAGATCTGGCGTTTTGTAATCGTCTGACTCTGTAACTCGTGCTTTTGAACTACAAACCCAAGGAAACCAAACTGGCCTCCAACGAAGGCGTCGGTATATCACCAATGCTCTCTACTGTCAAGTAGATCTTCAGGCATCGGTATTCCTACGACCCCTGTTACTGTACTCAGCAATTTTCTACCCCCTTCTTATGAAACTTGGCAAACCATGAGGTGCTGCTGCTTTGCATCATTAGAGTTTTGGCTGTATTGTGTGCTCTGAGCTACAACCAAGACCATCCACCTGAGCTACAAATATTCTCCACTATTTCATCGTTAGAGTTTTCTCAACTTCGAGGAAAGCTGTAGGACAAACACCAATGTCCTGTTCACATCCGGACTGGATACTGGGTAACTGAAGAGTGGCCATAACCCAGTTACATTGTTCTTCAAGGTTTTCCGACCAATCTAGCCGCCTGTTATCAGAGGCTATCAGATACCCATTTTTTTCAGTGTTGTTCTCACCAACCATCGCCTTCTTGCCAGTATCCTCAGTAAGCCGAAGTACCTATCAAGTATCACCTAGTTCTAAAACATGTTCGCCAACTTTCGCCTCCGACACCCCCCACGTTCCACAATCACTGTGAAGACTATGAGTCAGTTAACGTCCAGGCCACTTTCGTTCCTCATTGTGATCGAAGTCAGCTGGAATGAGTCTTCAGGCGTCAATCGGTTCGGACGAGGTTGGGGGAAATCAATTGTATTTTGTCAACCTTTCGATGTAGGTTACTAACTGTCTGCCACTATGTCTACAGTAGATTGAATATTACATCAAGCCTGATCAGGACCGCTACGCAGTCACGCCAGGTCCCATGTTGATATTGTTTATCTGACCGACGAAGAAGAGAGTTACTGCCATGTTTAGCTAAATGTTTCGTTATACCCCCTCCCCAAACGCGCACTCGACGTGTTCAACTTCCAGGTGAGTGCACACAGACTTCATTGCTGCCTGTTTCCTTCAACCAGTAAGGTACAAACATAAAAGTGTCCGTGCTAACACATGATCGGAGTCTGAGTAGGTACACCAGGAAGAGCTGTGATCCTCCAATGACGAATTATAACAATATGATGTATTTGTGTCCATCATTACTTTAGTGTTGGCGGACTCTGTGCAAGACTATCTCCCCATGCTTAAAGTTAGTGCCAATCAGAGACAAATGATTGTCAAAAAACTGCAGGAAACGATCACTGTCAATTTGTTGGCATGGGGTACCATATATGCCTTTCCGACTGACTCAGGTATTCCACTTGAACGTTGAAGTCGCTTTGAAACAAAATTGACATGTTTCGATGGAAGTCATCCATATTAGCATTCGAACCCTAGATGGTAGGTACGCAGACAGGGATTATGAGTTGTCGTCGACAAATCGCATAGTGTCCTGCAGTTCTTGTAGATATATGCAGTCAGGCAACTCGGACCGTTACGCAGTAATGTCCGGTCCTGTGTTGATAATGATTGACTGATTGAGTCAGGCACTACAAACGCCCGTTAATTGGATTTCAGACTAGAAGCGCGTTTCCTCTATAACTATTATACCGACACCAAGCCCTTGGGAACCAGCTACCGAATCTCCGGACAGAAAGTAAGTTCCGCAGATTCACCACGTTGACTAGACGCGGTCATATGAAAAACCACGCTTGGGTGCTGTATGTGTGTGTTAGAAGTACAGCACACCTCTACGGTTCTAGATTCCAGTTTTCTGGCAAGAAACGCCTGTTGTCCAATTTGGTGCAGGGTTCAGGCATTGAAGCTTTCTATGTGAAGTCGTTAGCTTAATTTTGAAAGACTAGGAACGGGACTTAGCTAGCTTAAATAGTTAACGATGAACGTAGAATAAAATTCTTAGCAAGTTAATTGCCTAACATTCATGTCAGGAAGTGAAAACTAAACACACAAAAGTAAGATCATGTTTTATAGGATTTCTTATGTTACTGAAAGCATGTGGGGAGTCAACACATTCAGACTGTTGAAATCTCACTTGTCGCCTCTGCAGGGTACCTGTGACAACCACGAGAGAATTAGTGTGACGAATACTGTGCCCATGATCCTAGATTTCATAGTTGAAGGTGACGAGCTTAACCAGTATGCATGGTTTCAGGATAGCTGTGTCAAATGGTTAACCGGAGGACAGCTTTATAGGGGCAACTGTTAAGCGATTCAAAACAGTACAGACAGACAAGAAGTGTAAGCAATGGAGGGCAGCTAAGTGAAGTGAAAATAAAGACAAACGAAAATAGTAATGATAAAAAAATACAGTCCATACGTAAAAGCTATAATGGCAATAATTGGTTAAATAGTTCGCAATCCAGAGAGCTTCAGTATTAGCTAGAAGGTTGATTAATAGCTTCAAAATCATTTTATATTGTAAGTTCATATCTTGTGTGATAGCTAGGATACTGCCCGAACACCCAACCCGAAGCATGTGGTTGTCTTCGAGGACCACTTCCTGAGCCTTTGACTTAAAGTCTAATCCACAAGGATACATAAAAGCTCCTAATGTTCTACTCCTGTTGCCTTCGTAAAATTTCCCTTGTATCAGAGAACCACCACGTGAGCGACGTATAAGTCCGATGTGGGGTTTTAAGCAATATGGTAATTCATTCGTGGATACTGTGAACTTTCATCAGTCCAGCTGACCAAGGTGTGTTGGGGTTTGCCAGTAAACATTTATATGGGTTGAGGCTGAGGCAGAAAATTACTGACTGCAGTAATGGAGGTACTAAATATTGTAATGGGAATTAGGGATAGTGCCATCAAACTAGTGTACTTAACCGATCATCCCAGTTTATAATAGGGGGCATAAATCTTCCTGTAATAACCATAGGGGAGTCAGTGTGACGAATACTGTGCCCATGATCCTAGATTTCATAGTTATTTGACGCCTAAGTGTAGTTCGAGAATAGCAAACTCGAGAAAACCAGGCAGGTTACAGACCTGGTTGACGGTACACCGATCATGTTTTCACCACCCTCCGACAGGTTCTGGAACACAGCGATAGCTGCCGGCGACCGATACTTGCCATTTATCTCGACTTGAAGGTGGTAATTGACTCAGTTGACCGTGAAGTGTTGTGGCAGTGTCTGACTGACTGTGAAAGGAGTACGAAGCAAGCATGTAATGCGTATCAAAGCTCTCTACTGGATCCCACGCAGCGATGTAGAGGCCTATGGAGAGTGGTCATGTGAATTGAAGACAACTAATAGTGGTGTCCAGCAAGAATGCCCGCTGTAACCATTCCTGTTTAATTTCGTCATAAATATAATAATGAGCATGACCTAAAGTACATCTGACTTAACAAGGATTGATCTACTCCCTGGAATCCATCTGGTTGATTTGAAATATGGAGACAATGTTGTCCTACCAGATGAAGACGCTGACAAAATGCAAGGTCTTGTGAATGCAATGAGGAGAAATCTGGGCATGTTTTGCGTGCGTTTCTCTGGCGCGTGTTGAATGTAATGTGATGCTGCAGGACTGGTCTGCTGCGAGCACTTCCTGTTTAGTGATAGGGAGTGAAGTGGTGAAAAGTGTCGACCGCTGCACTTACTTGTGTAGTTGCATCAACCAGAACAGACTGGTTGATGACAGAACCTCAGCTCGGGTACAGAAGGCCAATCTAGCATTTACCGACTTGCATCAACTGTGCTGCCGGCAAGATATCCGACTACCTATTAAAGGACGAGTATACTGCTCTACAATCCGTTCTATCCTCCTATACGGCTGTAAGACATGGCCGTTAGAAGTGAAAGACACGGAATTGTGTCAGGGTTGTGATCGCAAATGTTTTCGTAGAATTGCTTGCGCTTGGTGGAATCGTCGTGGGCGCAATGTTGAGGTGTGGTGAAGTGTGCTTGGTGAGACAGGCAGGTTGGTTGATGAGGTTGTGAATCTTTCTCGACTGAGGTGGCTTGAAAATGTATTGCGCATGCCGGACGATCCACCTCGACCTACAATGCTAGGGAAAGTCTGATTTGGTTGGATGCGGGTTCAGAATGGTCAGACTGAAACCTGAAACTAGCCAAAGAATTCCGTTAGTGTTGGTGTGAGCTGTGTGTGCAGATGTGTAGAATACTTGGTTAGGGTCCCCGAGAAGATAGGTGTCAGTGGTTAAGGACTCTTGGTGAAATCGCTGACAATCGTGCGGATGTAGTCACTTCTTGACATCTTAAACATGAATGTTCACACTAACCTTTATCTTCAAATTGTTTATTCTCACACTACTTTAACATCACTCCTTTTCTATTCATCTGTTCTTTGTGTACTACTGTGAAGTGTGGCAACTTGAGCCAGTGCACCTTTATGCGAGGTTCTACGTTGATTTTGTCAGTGTCAGTCAGTCAGTCATGTTTGTATGATTTCGATTTATCTAGAAATGGCGGTTGTACTGTATCTTGTTTTACCTGACACATGGTAATGGGAACCGATTCAGTAAAACTCAATCCCCAACAACACTTGTAGAACTACTTTCAAGGGAACATCTAGATGTATTTATATCTTTGTCTTTGTTACTGCTTGAATAACTAAGTCATTGTATTAGTTCAGTGTACAGCTCAGGAATAGCTTATGCACTATGAGGATTTCGATCAGAACTACGTTTGTGTCTTGCAGTATATGCTGGTAAAGGTGGATATTTGTCTAAACCTGTCACATTTTTCATATCACAGACTAAATATTTATTTTAAATAATCTTTCCAGCGTGTGCATGGTGAGACAGGGAAGTTGGAGACTGACTCTAGGTGATATGGGTAGGAACTAATGTCAGTGGGGGAAAGATGTAGACAAACGTTATTCTCATCTTAACCACGCTGTGCCGAATCTCTCACCATTTGCTTAATATTCCTTTCTCTCTTTTAGTACTTTATATCTCTTTTGACTGAATTTTCTTATCTTCATCTTGCACTTCACTATCTTTTCACTTGATGTACTGATATGAGCTGTGGCAATTTGGATCGTTGCACAGTATTGCATGCTTAAATGTTGATATTGATGACGATGACACTGGAATCTAGAGTTATAGCGGTATACTGACACCTGTCACGCGTATACAGGAGCCAATCGTGGTTACTTACTTGATCTCACCTGGCCAAGGTAATGAACCCGCGAAATTCACCTGATGAGTGTCCAGACATTCAATGGCTAGTTCTATTGGCCTAGTTGGTGCAAGTATAAAATCAAGTTGTACAGGAGAAAGCACGCTTTTCGACTGGATTCCAGCTAACCCACATTTGTATGCTACCTGACTGAACAAATCTGTAGCAGCTAAAAACGTCAGTGAACTTTTGAGCTTGCGTCACGTTAACCTCAAACTATATCAGTAGTTGTGGGTAGTTCAGTTCTACAGCTGTAAAACCCGGTCTCCGTGATCTGTGGATGTTCAACGACTGTGTTTTCGATCTGCGACGCAGAAGCACTCGTATGTTATCTTCGTTATAACCACTAAACTTCATCTCATATTTATTACACCTCTGACGTTGACTCTTCTAGTTCGGATTACTTATTCGTTATGCCGTTGTGAGATACGGCAGATTGAACCATTGCGTCATTATGTCTGGTCGGTTACATGTTGATGTTGACTGACAAACAATGTAATTGTAGGACTTTGGAGATCTCGATGGATAGCTAGCTTTGAAAAATGAGGTGATAAAAATGCTTTTATTCAATTTATGGAAACAACTTCTAACCTTCTGGATGTGAGACGATCGTTGTTGGGTGTCGTCTGTGTATTGCACCTCCCCCAACTTGGTCATCACAATCTGCTGCAACCGTAGGCGAGTTCCACAATAGGTTGGTGCGATCTGAAGACCCTGACAGACCAACATTCCAGTTCTTGACTAACCCTATACGGAAGTAGATGTAATTGATAATCATGACATTCAAGTTGCACAAAATATGAATGCTACCAAAAGTCGGAAAAGAATGCAACTGGTAGTCAGAAATAATGATTAGGGAAATACTTCACACTTAAATCCAAATCAGAGGAATACGGTATCCTTTCCGTCCATATAACTCTCTGTATTTAGTCACAGTAGGTTCAGTGAACAATTCAAATATCATCACGAGTGGAATGCAGTGTATTACAGGTGTAAACACAGACTAAGCTAAAACAGTGAGTCCTGCTAATCTAGATACGGAGAGTTATGAAATCAATTGCAGTTAGGTGTTTCTTGAATCTCCAGTTGTCTTATTTGGTTGCCTTTCAACGTGTCGCTTTGTATATTGCTCTGGTATGACATTAGGAGTCGTAAACTAATACTCAGCGCCCCCCCCCCCAAGCTCTGCTGACTGACTGTGTGTTTTCAAGGTTATTTTCATTTATTGAAATTATAACTAATGTGATCGTCGCGTATTTTTGAGATCAGTATCGGGGTGCAAATATCTGTAATTTTTTGCTTACCTGCGGAGATTGCCATTTGCGAAACACTCTTATCCTCTTTTTGCCTAAATTTTTGTTTTATCCAGGTTCGTTCTGCCCTAAACCTTTCTCTGCCAAATCCGTTGGGTGTACAGATAAATGGAAATGCTGCAGTTGGTGCATGTGGTGGTTCACTTTTAGGGCAGCCTCCACCCCCTTCTTTATCAAATGTCAATCTCAATTCCCACACTGCCCCATCTGCTAACTCACATCAGATTACTGGTTTAGCACCCATTACGAGTTTGGGCCCTGCAAAGAATAATATCCGCACACCAACTACACCTGCATCTTATAACCAGAACTCAATGAAAAGGTCACCTCGCCAAATGGCAATAATCAACTCAATAATTGAATTGCAAAAGAAACATCAGGTGGGTTGTATTACTCTGAGTATCCGTGATTATTTTTGATTTCAACCCAAACTTCAAAAAAAATTCTTTTTGTTCGTTTCTCTTCAAAAATCTTAAATATTGACTGAAGTCGAAAAGTACAATAAAACTTTGTTTCGTGGTGCTCTAATCCAACTGCTTGTTACCCACTGTAATGCGATTTTTGTATTGATATATTCTGGATTATAATCTCAATACACCCTGCTCAAGTAGTGAAAACAATTGTTTGTTTAAGGAGGAGGAAAAAACTTGATAGTAAATAATTAAATTGAAATGGCAACCTTGTACAGACTTGTTAACACCATAGGAATATATTTTCACTTAATCCTAGCATACTTTGGAAAAAGCTTCACCGTCGCAAGATCCGGATACTGTGATTTTCTCGGGACATTTGTAATAACTATAAATAATTATAATGTTTAACTCCCCATTGTTGTAAGGTGAAAAAGCATTAAGCGAAGCTGTTTAAGATGATTGTAATACATTACAAGTTACGTAAGCGTAATATTTCCTTCTGGATGTGAACCAGTTTTGAGACTGAGCTCTGAGGCAGAGAGTTGGAAGAACCCTCACTGTTTTGTTCTTTTCTTGTACAAGGTATTGCTTATTTATGTCGGTTTATAATCAATTCGTGGTTATTACTAAACATCCTTTGGTTTTTTTGAGGGAGTTGTGGAGATTTGGAAATATTTCAAGTTGTTATTCATCGTAGACTGACATCAGTTGGAGGAACAAAGGAATCCTGGGAGCACTGGACAGCCGTTTCGTCCTAGTATGGGACTCCTCAGCAGTGCTCACCCACCTTGGTTTTGGCAAATGAAAAATAATATGTAGGACCGCTATCGCGAAAAATATGTTTATTTTAGAGATTGAGCTATGCTGATCGATAAAGTGCGCTTGTGTGCAACACTAGAGTATATCCTGACGCGTAATAAAATAAAGATCCTATTTAGTTGTATTTTTGTTCTAAACATATGCTTGGTGTATGTATTCTTACTGATGATGTTAAAGCTCCCTCTTTTGGATTTTACTCTAACCCACTTATTCTCTTTTTAGAGCATTCAGCATCAGCTAACGGTATATCACAATAATCCAGCTCTTCGATCGCAACCCCAGTATGCTGATGTATTTGTTGAACTTCAGGGTCAGATGCAACAAATCGAAACTCAGCTTTATGCAAAACGCACACAACTTAATCTGACTCGTGCACAGGATCTAGGAGCACAGTCGACACGAACAACACCGTTGTTGCTGCCAAACTGTGAGTCATCTATCGGATTCAAGTTTAATGTTGTTTCGTTGACATAATTGAAAGCGACTGACTTTTCTAGAGCTTGGTGTGTCGCTAGCAGTTGACATTTCAAGGAAAGCCCTAATAAAATAAGAAATTTAGAAATTATCTGAGGCTTACGCACACAATCACTCAGTTGGATGCGGGATAGAATAAAAAGATCGAAATTGGTAACTAAAGCTCTGTTTATTGAATCGACACCTGATACACAATAGAAGTGGTGCTACACTAATTCCGGATATATATAGGGAATTTTTATAACCAATTAAACCAGGAATAAAGAAAAGCAGAAGCACTATGCACAGAAATCATATGGGAAGGTTGTATGATTACACTGTTGGAATTATGAGCAGTAAATTTGCTAGAAATGTCATCAGTGAAATATGAAATAAACGGTTGTGGATTGATTTGTCCCACTCAACTAAAACTGTCAATTTTACCATTTGAACATTTAAAGCGTTAGGAGCGTGATAATTCACGGAAGAGTATTTCGCATATACATGAAATGCTTTAATTCAAAGCATTTCTCTTCATATTCTCATGCCAACTCTTTTTTTAGGTGCAGCCTCTATCGAATCAGAAATTAAAAATATATCGGATACGTTCGTACCAGGTACCAGTATGCCTGTAGTTTGAACCCCACTCCACCTACTACGGTTTAGACAACCGGTTGGTATCAAACACCACACAACCTACGACTGATAGCCTTAGTACATAAGAAACATGTAGCGGGTTAAGTTGCATCAATGTGGAGGGGCTGTGGTTCAGTGGTGTACGCAGTTAACTTTCAACCGGTGAATCGTGGCTTCGAACGCTGCTCCTCTACATTCCGAGATTCGGGTATCCAAGTAGCATCTGTTAGCGATCACACAATAAGTGTGGCTCACTGTCTACTGCACTAACGTTTACAATTTTGCTAGGTTGCGTTTCGTTGTGTTTTATGCAGGAATCACTAACAATGGTACACTTTATCTCAGTGGGATGTAAACTGAATATATTGAGTAAAGGCTAATTATCGTAACCGATTGCTCGAATCTAGATCTATTCAATTCTAACTGGTATCCCGTTAGTTGGAATACATGTTTTGCAATGTGTTGTGAAGTTCTCAGCGTAATTCACTTCCTCTGTTCTTTCGACTTTCCGTACTATCAAGGCGTTGATGTCTCCGATAACTCTTTCCCTGCTATTGGTACATGGATGGCACCCTCATCAAACTGTGGAGAAAATTTTGACAAAACTCCAACTGACGCCTTAGGTAAGTGAACTCTTAATTTTCCTGAATTCCAGTTACGGTGAAACATTGAGATGACATTTGAAATACTCATTAGGTGTCATCATATAGGTCAAAGCCCTGTGACTTATGCTTGAGTGTTTTTCTTAGTACTCTTGACCATGTTTTTCGATTTCCGATCCATTCGTACACGTTGTAAATGTTTGATATCTAATTTTCCTAACATTTATTTTCCTTGATGAAAGAAAAAGAGCAGTATTTGCAGATATTCTTTTCGTATATTTCAAATTTCGTATCCGATTTGCTCACAACCAACCGGTTTATATTTTTTCATCAATCTGAACAATTGTATAGAGTAGCTCTCTGTATATCATTTTTTTTAAAAAATTACTATCATAACATGTTATTCCTCTTGGTGTGTTGAAGTCGGAGACTATGCATTTATTCTAAAAGCTGACTATGTGATTACATTGCTGCTTAGGTAATTGAAAGGCATTCAGTGACCTTGTGTGGTAGGCAATGAGACACATATTGTGTGAGGGCGGATGAAACCACTAGACTACCCAGACCTCGGTAGAAGGAGCGGGGCTGTAACCCCTGGTTGAAAGTCACCTCTATAAACCAATACGCCACAGTCTACACTGGTGATTACCGGTAATCTTTCCATAACATGGCTTTGTCTAGAAATGTTTTAACAGTATCAGGAAACATCTTTAGTATTTTTGTCTTTAAAAGACCTACTCTGCAGCACTCGCTTACACGCCATGTTTTTCAAATCCAATTAGAGAAGATATTACAGAAATTGATGTATTATTGATTCCTTATTATGATTTCACCGGCCTCATGTTTATAATTTTAAATCAATACTGTAGTATACACGCTTCAGCTGTATTATGGTCAACTAGTAGGTCAGTGGTGATGCGTTTTTTCAGGTTGGTCTTCCCTCAGAACTTCATATCAGAAATTCCGAGTGTTTATATGCCAACGTCTTGCAAACTAGTAATGGAAAGTCTGTTTATATATATATATATATATACATTACAATAACTCAAGTGGTTCCGCTAAATCACAGCAGCTGGGTTAGTTTATGATGATTAGGTAGGCTGAATATCAGGTTGCTATTTATCGTGAACTGAAATCAGTTAGAGAAACATTGGAAGTCTAGGAGCATATTAGGCAGCTGTTTCCTTCTAGTATGCGACTCAGAAGTGTGCACCCACGAACTTCCAGATATCAAACCCAGGACCTTCAGATTCCACGGCCAGCACATCGCCACTGTTGTCCACATTTCCCTACTTTTGTCAGTTCACGATATAGTGGGACCTCCATCCAATATCCTTTTTGAGTATCTGTCTTCATATCCGACTTCGTTGGCTCTACCGGTCACGACTTTTCATCAGAACTTCGTGAATCTCATCTCGAAACGAGTCACCAACGAGCTCTAGGAACTATTCGATACGGAGGTTTGTGAAGTCTGTAAGAATAATCATGTTCTGTCTGTTCACAGGCACACCCTGAAACAAGTTTTATTGGATTGTTTATGTTGAAACTCCTTCCTATAAGTCTGTAGGTTAACTGACTACTTAAAAGTGGAGCAGAATAACAATGTATATCTGTTCCTACTGTTGCATTTCTGAGCAATAGACAGAAGTAATTACTTTTTTGTGCTTATAAAATATCGGCTTGATTGTGATATCGCCTAACTCACAAAAGTTTCATACCCAATTTGATGAAATCATCCACAACAAATTCCGTTTTCTCACCTAGTCGATTTGTTTTACACGTTGTCAATTGACCAATACTTTCTTAAAAATGACAGATCTACGTTGACATTTTTTCATAGGCACCATTTAGTTGGTGGTGGGAGATGTTGATTTTAGGACGCAGCTGCTTACTTAAGCGTGTTTGTTAGTTGTTACGCGCATTAGCTAGTAGTTTAGTGATCGTTGGTTGATCTGTTGTGGTCAAGTTTTCTGTTTTGTTTTTTAAATCAGTCAGTGTGTACCTCAATCTGTAACGGGTTTATGTATAGCTAAGCTATGAGACATATATTATTGTGTAAGACGACTCATGATACTAGCTGGATGCCCGGACTAAAGTCGCTAAAGCTTGGTATGACCCTGGGGTATCCATTGTGTGAATGTCACGCGTTTAGGTCAGTGAACGACACCTTATACAATAAAACTTGGACTTAAAACAATACAGATATCTGTGAAGAGGTCGGGTCAAGTTCTTTGACTACATGCCATTATTTTTGTTATGGTTCACTAGCCCATTGGAAACTATATCTTATCGTTTTTTGATTAACTTTCACTAACTTGTGTGCTATTCTAATATAACTGAGCAGCTTTTATTTCAGCTAGTGACTGTATGCTTTGCAACGATCTCCCTGTCTGTAACACTGCATTGTTTACTTGTCTAAAAGTTTATTTATCGAGTTTGTAATATTCTTGTTTGTCTATAGGTTCCAGATTGAATAATTTTACCCGCACTGCTGTCTCCAAAGTTTCCAGTAACTGGTCTCCTGTTTGGTCTGCAAGTAATGCATCAAATCAAACCACTTCAAATTTACGTCTAACTCATGCTCAATGGCAGCAAGGAAACTCTCATGGTCGTACTGGTTTAGAAAATAATTTGAACCTTCCGGTGGGAAAAAACAATCTTTCAGGAAACATGCACGGTGAAGCCCCCCCTCAAGGACAGTGGTTATTAGTGCAGCCACTTCTTGGATGGACTGGAGCAAATATTCACAATCTACAAAATATTTTGTCAACTCACTTCAAACTCACCAGCTTTCATGTTTTGAATCCAAACACGAACAGCGTACTGATAAAGCTTCAAAATATAGAGGAGACAATACAGTTGGTTAAGAATTTCGGGGATCGTCTAGCTCTGGAGCCACTTTCAGAACTCGATGCTCGTGTTCATTTAGAACAAGTAGTAAGTTTTCCTCTTTACTATGCTTTACTTTACCTTAAAAAACTTCAATTTTGGCAAGGTATTTAAGACTACCGATATGCTTTAAGACTAAATCAACGATGATGGGAAATGCTGACTTTTTGGTCAGGAGACTATCCGCGTAAAAATGGTTCTAAACTTATGTAGCATGTTGTGTTGTAGATATAATCACCAGTGAAGACTTAGTTCTTCATTATTTGTCTGAATTACTGACTTACTATACTTTTCACAACAGTTATGAGCCCTGTAAAAACAGCAAGAAAAATTGGTTATCTAACCTCTGATTGAATTTTTTCTCGCATTTTGTATATTGTTAGTCTGTTTTTTTGGTTGTTGTTTACGACATCGTATCAAATTTATTGTATCTTGGGATAATATTTCTGACATTTTCAGAAAATGTCTCTTCTGATAGCTGCTATCTTAAAGGATACCTTCGTTGCTCACAAGTTTCTAGTTGATATTCGTATTTTTCAGTTATGCACTGTAGTTTTTCAGCTGAATAATATGAAGTGTTTTAACTGGAGATTTAGATCTCAAGGGTATTCCGTCTTTTATGTTTTGTGCTGCCAGTGTTTTTGCTCATGGCCATGAGCCGAAATCGGCTTCAACTAAATGCACTCATTTTATGATCTGTTCTCCGACGCATTTGCTCTTGGTAATGCTTTGCCAACAATCCGTTTGTCGTTAATGAAATATATTGGTAAAATCCCAATGAAGTGAAAAAATAAGAAAAGAAGCGATTTCCACGATGTCGCGAAACGTCAGAAATTTATTTTTCTGCTTCATTAGGACTTTACAAATATATTTCATTTATGAACCCGTTCACCTAATGCTCAACTTATTCAACTCTATCTGGTCAAATTTTGATCCTGAAGTTTATAAAATTAACTTATCATCTTCAGTATGTAATCGCTGTAAAAGTTAAAACTCTAACAGCAGTAATTTATCTCCTAGAATGACAGGAAGACCTAAAAATCTGATCATTGTATGTAAACATTCATTTTAAATTTGTGAATAGTAAATCGATTCATTCCCTAATTCACAAACTTTTCATGGACTGACTCTTGATTACTCTTACCATTGGTTTGAGTGAATTAGAAACATGCGGTCCCATTTATCCATGTAGTTACTTATTAAGAAGAATTCTTACACCTAAAATGCTAAAGAAATCACCCTCTTTTTTTGTCGATTTGTCTTCTCATGCAGTATTAGTTATCGTTATATAAAGCGATATTTAGTGGTAAACTTTTAAAACATATCCATATTTTATTTTTGCTAATCTCTTTCTTTTTCAGTCCTTAAATGCTTGTTCAGATGGACTGACATCTAATCAATTTAATACATTACCGGAACTACATGTTACATCATCTAACTGGAATGCTAATGGCCAATTCTACTCTTCCTTGAATAATTCTAACAACAAAAAGCCTAACCCTCAAATCTCTCGTTTTGGAATAACTGTATGTGGGAACAAGTAGTGTATTTAGTGAATCTAGGTGATGAAAATAGTCGTTTTTGCGGAATCTCTTGTTTGGTAATTTTTCGTAAGGAAGTCTTCCAGTCTCAACGCTTTTGCGTTCAGATTCACGTCACTAGTGCAGCTAACTTAATGACAGTCAAAAAATTCACAATTCTCGCATTCACTACATTCTGCTCAAGTTTTATGAATGTGTGCTATTCTTTTTCTCTCTCTCACACAGTTCATGTTTTTGGCTAATTCTTTGCTGTGCCTCTGTGACTTCTGTGATCCAATATTATATCAAAATCATGCGTTTCGAAATTGCTAAGTTGTATATGGATCAAAACTAGTCAGAATTGCCTTGCTGATTGATATAACTATAATTGTTATTTTTATTCATGTCTACCCCTTATATTCTTTATGTAATAACATCATACCTCATTGCCTTTCATACCTACATCCATACATCCTCATATCTGTGCGTGTGTCTGAGAATGTGGTCTGATTGTCTGTTCGGTTCTGTTCTATTCTATGTTTTTTTAAAAACCGTCCAACTCTTTCTAGTAGTCTTTCATTTTTTCGCGTGCTTGATTTTTACAGATAGCTGTCTGTATCTTCAGACTCTAAGTGTGGCTACACTTTACTTATCCTTCTGTCCCTAACCAAGCCTTTAGAATCAAAGAGTATTCGAAGCTGAAGCTGCTTCAACTATATCGTATCAATTGAGTGCTTTTCCTGCTACATTTTATTATATAGTGTATTTAGGTTGTCCTACGTGTTTATGTGAATAAGTTAGTTTACATTGATATCTTAAATCCTTAACTTTCCCCTTTATGTATGTGACGTACCCTTTTTGTCCATTTTCATTGGGTTCAGTCATCAACTATTGAACAGAAAACCACCTAATGTATTTTTTTTCTGTCTTGCTACAACACAGATCATGTCTATTCTGAGACGCTAACTGTGATGTATTTATACGTGCGTATGCTCATTGGTTTATTTCCCCTTTCACGCAGAATAATGCGGTCCCTTTAAAGTCTTCTGATACATACAACTGCCCTAAAAACCAGACCGGTGCAATATGTTTCTTGTCCCGCTTAATTGTTCTGTAAAACACTTATGACTGTATTTACCTACCTCTAGATCAATAGTATTAATTGTTCTCATTTTCACTGATTAGGTTATTGTCTGTACACCTTGTGTACGTATGTGTGTGCGTATGATTCACAATTTTGTGTCCTCAAACAAGGTGTGCACTTTGAGTCGTTTTAATATAACCAAATTATCGCCTAACACTGTACAATAAGTACAATACTTACTGCATATCCAGTGGAAATGATGCTATTTCTCCATTTTTGTTCTTCTTGGAGTCAACTGAAGTAAGATCTTCCTTTTTCCTTTCAATCTTTAAACTATGTGCATCCTTTTCTTCCTGTTTTTTCTGTTGTTCAACGATTTTTTAATGAACAAATCGTTTTACTATGTTATGTCAAGACATTTCCAATCAGAAAATTGGTCATTTATTGTACGTTTTTGATCGAATTATTGCATTCAGTTAACCTTTATTTCTAATGCACACACTGGTTGACGTAAAAGAAAAGATGAAGCAAGAGTTAGATTTTTCAAATTGCCTAAAGGTTTAGGCATACAAGCTTTTCTATTTCACATCCATCATGAAGTCATGTGAGAATACTTCCCTTTTTGTGTATTTTTTGAAATTCTGAATAATAATGATAATTCTGGCTGTTTACTACACCATTACAATCCATTCTGAGTTAGTCTTTCCACTTTTCATGTCCTTTCTATGATGATTGCATTTTCCTCTATAAATATAAGTCTAGATGTAACAACTATTCCTTTGTGGTGAATTCCCTTCTTCTGTTCACATTGTTATTTCTCAGTAGTCGTCAATTTTATCAACACAACGACTAGGACAGTTCTTGAGGTGTGTGCGTCAAAGTCGTGTTTCCTTTTCCACTGCTAATATAACCCATTCCGGTGCAAAGTTAAAAAACCTGTTGCCAAACTTCTGTCTATCTGTTTATACACACACACAAAACAGTATAGTCTCTATTCATTCTTTTTTCTGTTTTATGATTTATTTCTGCAACATCATCTTAAAATGCCTTCAATTCTAACGTGTAGTAGTAGTAGTAGTGGATAACCGAATTTTTCCAGCTATTTATTACCTTTGACTTCAACCTGTGATCAGATCCATTTGTTGCAGTTACCCTGCATACCTCTTATATATTATACGCATTAATGACGTCATTTTTCATCATTCCATTTCTGGATTTGCAAGTTGATGTTTCTCCTTCCGACGTTTTGTTTATGTGCTAGTGGCTCTACATTTCCAGGGATCCAGAATACTTGTGATGCTTTTCGTGCCTGTGCTAGCTATATCCGGTTAGCATTATTCATATCACGCGTGTGCTTCCACTCGAATACATTATGTTTGACGATTCCCGAACATATTCACTTTACAGCTGCAAAAAACGTAATGGGGATACAGTGGACTCACACAACACAATCAAAATATTTCCCTATTTTATTCATAATTAACAATTTGGTTGTGTTCAATCTATTCCTAAATTAAGATAATCTAATCTTCACATATCCCAGCTGCTCATAGATCATCAATGAGACCTTTTCCAGCATACAAGTTAGTAAATATTCTCTGTCTTGAGAGAATCCACTTGATGATAAAACTGGGTTTCTGATTTGTCTGGTTTCGTTTATAGACATTAAAATATGTATCACTGCTTTCAGCATTCTCTTTTTCTCATAATACCCGTTGCTGAACTGGTGTGTTGTTCCCCCTCTTATGCATAATCATGTCTATACTGTCCTGCAAATATTCAAATGTATTCCATATATTTGTTTTTATTAACCAGTCAAAATGTGTTTCTCTCTCTCTCTCTCTCTCTGCATTAATCATAAGTTTCCATCATTCGTATATTTCAGTCATCACTTACTGTTTGTTTTGTCAATCTAGAAAACATAATAGTCCTGCCAAGCGTATTATTGTCTCGTAATCTTTAGGGATATCTTAGCAGAACTCAGCTGGTTCTGGGGACCCATGGTTTGTTCACTTTCTCTCTCAATTGTGTATCAACAAGTCAGTGACTTTTCCTCTATCCTTATTTTCACTGACTGGGTCCTAGTATTTTCACTCATTATTGTCCTGTTTGCCAGCTCAACTCAGCTTTCGCACTTGTGAACTTGCCATTTTTGTGCGCCAAGTTATTTCAAATGTTAATTAACTCTATCCACAATTGTTTGCTGTGCCAAGTGCATAAAGTGTCATAAAACATTAAGGAGTGTCAGACTTTGTTTTTATTTTTCTTTTGTTCTAAATTTGGTTGAATAGGCGTATTCATTCGTATATTGTTCAATGTTTCTTTCTCAAATAGAGCTCTCCCTACTTAAATTTAGGTTTTGGCTTTTTCACCTAATTCTTCAGGTTTTCGAACCCTAACTCATTCCAACCTTTGCTGCAGTTATGCAAGCTTACATTTCTGTATGATACAAAGCATTCGATGTATATTCGGGGGTAGAGGATATGTTCATCTTGCGCCTGCTGTGTATGTTTTGCTATTGATACCAACTATCTTCGGAGGATAAGGAGATATGATTTTTTACTTGGTTGGTAAGCGGCAGAAAGTTTTATATCTGAGACAAGTGTATGGAACCCACTTGCAGGCGCGCACTAATTACCACAATGACCGGTGTCTGTAGACTAGTGGGTCGTAAAAGTGCGGCAGATCTCAAAGCCAACAGTTCTCAATTTCAACGAATATGCAGAAATATCCCAGGGTGCAAACGTACCTATGTTCGATGGGAACCGTTCACCGGTTGTTTTGACAGGGCGTCTTCATCGATCACTATTCGGAAAAATCGAATGGTTCTTACCATCTCAGTTGGACCCTTAACAGGGTGAATATTTAGGACAAAGGGAGTAGAAAGCTGCAGTCATATGTTCCAGTCTATGCTAAATGTTGCTTCAAACATCCACGTATTTACCACATTCGAATTTGTCTTTACGTAACTCTCTGCTATGACTTGTTGAACTCGTGTAAAATAACTCATCCCTCAAGTGAGATTACTATGGAATATTTATTTCTGTTGGAAAAAGTCATCTCTGAAGGCTTCTATTACCTCTGCACTTTTTCATAAAGTTTCTTTATATAGTTTCTAAAGCCTCATGATTGCGGATCAATCAGCTGTTACTGACATCTTCAATGCTCCTGGTGACGCTTTCGTTTGCTGGTGTACTCTTCGGAAAAGCGGTGTCATCATGCGAAGCAGGCATATTTCATCAACTGGTCAGTTACGTTATTAAGAAATATATTTAGTCCACGGCCAATACTTTTTGCAAGTCGCTTTCTACCCCTTCCTCCTCACTGCCTGTGTTACTTGCTGCCGAGTCAAAATACACGATGAACCAGGTCAGGTGACTGGTTGCACAAAATCGAAAAAGTACTGTAAAAGAAAGCAAACCGATGAAAGGTTACTTTGTTTCCATAGTGAGCGATGGTACCGTCTGAGGTGTTGTGACCGAAAATGGTATAATGATAACAGGGTTAGTTTTGTTTTTTAATATGTATTTTATAGAATGCATCTAAAATGCTCTTATTCACTGTTCATACTCGCCACGTTTTTAAAAGGTTCCTGGACAGTAACTCGGTGATTACTAACTCACAATCATCCCTACAATTCTCTGCTTTAAGATAATGGTTCGTGAAGTTGAACAGCATATAGCCATTGCTAGTATCTGACATGGCTGCACTTAATGTTGTTGACTTCGTTTATTTTAAAGGACTGAATTTCTTTAATTTCCCCACCAAATCATTTTGTTGTGGGCAGTTATGAAAAACTCCAGGAGCACATAATCAGTCAAGGTTCATCTGCATTCTTCTCTTCCACTGAGGATAGAGATCTGTGATACTCTTTCTTCCCCACAGCCAACCAGCTGAAATTCGCTAAAAATTGTCTTGATCTAGGTATCGACGCTATTTATAAGACCACTGCTAGCCACGATCTATCATTATAACATAATTAGAACGTAGGTAATATACAAGCGTTTGCACAGGTGCCCAAATGCCAATAGAGACCGATCAGTTCGGTCCAATCAACGACGGTATGATATAAAATAATCATACTAAAACTATACCCGTCGCGCAAGAAGTTAGCAGGGCTCGGTAGTGTAGTGGATAACGCCCTCCCGAATTGCAGTGGGAGCAACATCACTCACTGGGAAGTAGGTACATCCAGCTGACGAGTCTCAAACAGGACGAAATGCGCATCCTGGATTCAACTGCTAGCCGCGATCCATCATTAACGATAATGAGGACCTTTTTTTCTACAAGTCTGTAGCCATATGCAAATCGAAGCTTTTACCGTCAGCTATTCTGAACAGTGCATTTTCAGTGACATCACGTGGGGTTATTCCTTGTTTCCCTAGACCCTCTAACTACGGATTTTGCATGGAGTACAATTTGTCATGTAGGCATATCATTAAGTACTTTATTATCACCATCAACATTTAAGCATGCAATACTGTGCAACGATCCAAATTGCCACAGCTCATATCAGTACATCAAGTGAAAAGATAGTGAAGTGCAAGATGAAGATAAGAAAATTCAGTCAAAAGAGATATAAAGTACTAAAAGAGAGAAAGGAATATTAAGCAAATGGTGAGAGATTCGGTACAGCGTGGTTAAGATGAGAATAATGTTTGTCTACATCTTTCCCCACTGACATCGGTTCTTACCCATATCACCTAGAGTCAGTCTCCAACCACTGGTTCATCTTGTCCCGCGGACCCCAACCGTCTAATCTACATCACCTCACATGGCTCAAACCAACAGTCATACATTGGTGCCATGTTTTAGTCTAGCTACCTTGGACCTTTTTCTAGCCTGGACCTACTTTGGCCAACATTGCATGACGAGGCAGACGGCAACTAGACATGAGGAATGTTTGTCCCAACCATCTAGTCGATGAAGGGTCATAACTTCGTCAACTGACTTACCTCTACTCCCTAAAAACTCTGCATCTGACTTCTGCTTTACTCAGGTGATGACACCACAGAATACAGCCTATATTTACGAAGGTAGTGGTGGTCAAACACTTGAAGCCTCCTCACGTCTTCCACCTTTAATGGTCATGCTTCACAGCCAGACTGTTGTGCAGTTCACGCGACAATCAGACATCACGGTGGCGCCATAGGTGGTGTAAGCTGGCGAAAGCCAGCGAAGCCTTTTGTACCCGTGCAGAGATTTCATCGGCCACTGAGCTAGCCACCAGGGCTGATCCCACTTCCCAGGTAAGTGAAGTGGTCGATACACTCAATCACTACACTCTCTATTGTTGGCCGTGGCAGCGTTGAAGACCAATTGTGAAGCAATAATTTGCATTTGGGTGGTGAGAACCGCATCCCAAACATTCTCAAAGTGTTCAGAAGACTAGATCTTGTCAGCGTCTTCACCTAACAGGAGTATGTCATCTGCGTATTCTGGGTCTAACGAAAATTCTCCTGCGATTAGGTCAACGTCTGTGTAATCAGATGACGAGATGGAGACTTTTCATGAGAATATCTATGATAACATTGAATGAGGATGGAGACAGTGGGCAACCTTGACGGACAACACTCGATGAGTTCAGCTCCCTGGATATCTCACCATAGGCTGTAACACGCCCACAAGTTGTTCGAGTAGAGAGTCTTCAATAAGGTGATGTACTTACTCGGCACGGCTTTCAGTGAGAGACATTACCATAAGACTTCTGGATCAACGGAGTCGAATGCCACCGCCTTCAAGTCGAGAAATACAGCTATACAGCTATTGTCGGGCGTCGGTAAGCGTGTCTGTGTTTCAGGACCTGAGGCAGTGTGAGTATTCAGTCGATAGACCCGCGGCCGGGTCTAAATGCTGCCTGCCTGGTTTTCTCGGGTTTACTGTCCCCGAGCTCCACTCAGACGTCGGAGAATTATAGGACCTAGGATCCTGAACACTATGTTCGTCAGGCTGATTCCTCTGTGGTTATCAGGAGAGGACTTTTCTCCCCTTTCTTGAAGACTGGGTTTAGACCAGTCAGAGGGGATCGTGTTTGATTCCTATATACTGGTTATCGCTTCCGTTAAGCTGACTAAGAGCACCTTACCAGCATCCTTGTATACCTTTGGAGTTAGTCCGTCTGGTTTTGCTGCCCTTCCTCGTTTCAGGTTACCTTCCGCTTTCTCGACTTACCAGTCGCAGTCTCGAATATTCCGCTGTAGGCATTTTATCCAATGTTTCGGAAGAATAAATGGGTTGTGACTGAAGATGTGAGCGCCATCTTCTCGGCAGAAGCTAGAAGATCAGTGACTCCATTTATAACAATTTCACAGTCACCTAGAATTACAATAACTCACCCAGCAAATAATTTAAACATTGGCTTAAATCCCAGTGTCGACAATCAGACAGAAGCAATGAAGTTGCTCACTCGGGACTCTGATGAGGTGAACCATGTGCATGTAAACGAAGGTGAGGATTATGTTGAACAGGGAGTTTGTGAAGTGTGATTCCAAACTGGATGCTTCAACCCCCATTCCACGTGCCGGTACATGCATAGCATACCGTTGTTATGCTACTTACCATATATATCCTACTAATGGTATCTAGACCTAAGAAATTTTTTTCAGTGCTCAGTGTATGGAGGTAACCTCAGCACGAGGCTAATGCAACTGAGAATTAGAGAGACTTTTCCTAACACAGATAATTTGCATCTTTAACAGTAGCTGTACCCATTTCACTTTCAGATGAAAACAAACTGCAGCGTGAGTGGATTTTATATTTCACGATGAGAGGAGAAAGATAAAAGGCGTTAATCAGGGCTATCACAAATGTAACTCTGGTGTACTATGAATAACTATTATATCTAGCTAGCTTCGTTGTGTTTTGGTTATAATGAAATATGCCACTTTTCTGAAGACTATACAGAATTCTAAAGTAAGACACAGGTAATGCCGGAAAGTATATGTGCACATAGCCAATTTATGTAATTCTCTGTGAATTACATAAACTAACAATCATATCAAACAACCCCTTTCCCTGATTTCGTATTCCATCATACTATTATATCACAGAGCCGTTGAAATATGACATTGAAAGTTCATGACATCCCAGCAACTGTTCATGAAGGTATTGAAGCAGTTAGCTCTTTCTAGAGATCAATAACGGGTTCTGAAATGACTCGACTTTAGCCATTACCTCCTTATCTTCTCTAAGCAACTACTCCATATCTTTTTCCGCTGCTATTTAACGAAACACCTAACAACTATGGTGTGCGTGATTAAACCCATCACTGAGGAATGATTGTTTGAAAAGCTGACGAGCGAAGCACTTCAACTGCTTATCAATTACCGAAAAATGTTTTCTGAATGTAG